AACGTTTCCAAATCTACGTTTAATCCACGTAGATGATTTTCCCATTTCCACGTCGATTCTACGTAGACTCTCAACGTTTACTCAACGTTTCCAAATCTACGTTTATTCTACGTAGATCATATTCCCATTTCCACGTCGAGTCTACGTGTACTCTCGACGTTTACTCAACGTCTCCAGGTCGATATATCTACGTATATTCAACGTCTATTCAACGTTGCTGTGCCACACGGGTTATTGATTAATCCTGTTTATTCATCACGCTCGGAACGCAGGGGCGCAACCAAAGGGGGGGGGGATTCAGATCCCCTGAACTCCCCCAAACCCTTGCTCATGATGCTATCTCTCTACTTCTACCATCTTCCCCAAGGGTGGGGGATGCAGAAAGATATCGTGAGGGAAAGGCCTAAGAGCGGGGCTCGAAAGGTACAAAGATAGTAGGTGAAAGGATAAGGTCACGCCCTTCACAGGTAGGTAGTCACTTTGTAATATGAACCTGTGAAGGAAACGTTCTGCACATATGACGCTAATGCATTTTTTATGAAAACGGAAGTACGACTATTCAAATAAATGGCGGGAATCACGTACAGGTTAACGAATTTTCAGTTACATGTTTGTGATATTTGGGAAGAATCCCGAAATTAATTTCGTTCATTTTGAGCTTTTTTCGGACGTATTAATATCTCTCCTGATGAATTGATGACGCAACTTTCTTTCCTTATTTCCGATTCAGGTTCGGTATGTCTTTCATCGCTTTGGCGAAGGTGCTCAGCCATTTCACACCTGAATTTATAAATTTTAAGGAAAGGAGTCAGAGGAGTTCCTCATCAGAGAATCGGGGGAATCGTTATTTAGGGCAATTGGTCCAAAATCTATGAAAAAGTGGGGAAAAGGGATTTTCACCTCGTAGCTCCACGTTGATTACGTTAAAAAAATCAGGCGACTCCCAAAGTAAATCTTTCCCTACAGTCAATATGCAAAAGTCTGAACTTCGTGGTTAAGCCTCCTAGAGATTTTCTATTCATGAGCAAATATTATTCACCCTGTATTTTTTCCCTTCCATGAAAAAATTTGATGTTGTACTTAGATCTGATCTCAGATCAATTCCTATTAATCTTCACTTTGTGTTAGCTTCCATGTGACGTGCATCCGAATCGCGTGCCATTTTTTCTGTTTTGAAAATACCCTCTTCTGCTTTTCAGGCACTACACTGAATGTCACCGGGCCAGGCCAAAATTACTTCTGTTCACTCGATCCTAATGACTCTCCTGGCTGTTGTCTCTGGATTGTAAATTATAATGGCGCTTCTGCTTGCTGGATGGACGGACCTTGCTCGACGACTGTGAATGGGTACATCTGCGAAATCAAAGTACTGAATTGAGTCAACCAGAGGAAACTCATGACACTTCCTGAGATGAGCGGAAGGTGAAATTTGTTCAGATGCTATGTGATATTATTCCCCTTTCTGTTTTTTCCCCACGGGGAGAGGTATAATTTTTTTCACTCTGGATAGACCTTATATGGGGTTCCCCCACATGAGATTTGTCCTCCCTTTAAATGATAAATTATGTGATAAATTCCCGCGCCCCTCCGTCCCCACGACCAGGCATGAAAAGAGAGAATTTCGAGCTGGCGAGAACTGTAACTGACATTTTGGTAATTGACAATAAGTTCCGTCTTCAAAATATGTTCATTGTAATGATAACGGGACAGGTTGTTAGTTGGCAATAAGCTGCGTCTTTAGAAATTTCATGATCCAAGCCTCCAAACCTCGTACTTTCTCGGCGACTATTTCTTTCGTGCCTTTGAGTGTTCTTTTAACGCCGGTTCTATAACATAATGTCGAAAGCCACAATGTCGTCAGATTTTTTGTCGACTAGCAAAAATGTCGAATGTCACACAATGTCGAATGGACAATGGTCGAATGGGCATAATGTTGATTGTTACAATACCGAAAGCGTCGAAATGTAGAAAAACGTCGAATCCTCAAAATGTCGAAATCCGGTTATTCTTTTCCGTTCCTTGGGTCCTGATATAATCAAGGAGAGGCGATTATATTCTTTCCTCTCTACTCCCTTGAGGCAGCGAAGACTGCTTTGTCAACTTATCATCTGCCTGCATCAGTAAGCGTTGGCGGAGTTGATTACATCACTAAAAGCGCACTTCCACACGAATGTCAGTCAGAATTGGAACTGTAACCAAGACCACCATGGAATACGTGAATTCTCAGAAAGGTGGCAAATTATTAGTTGTTCATGGTTACTTATTCACGCGTGAAAAGTGTACAAAGGAGAAAGTGTATTGGAGGTGCCAAAACCGGAGTTGTTCTGCCCGTGCCGTTGTGACCATGAAAGACGAACTTATAAAGGAACCTCCTGAAGTGCATGATACTCATGCATCTAATCGATCCGACATTCTGAAGAGAAAATTCGTCACATCGGTAAAGCGGCGAGCAGATGTTTCATCTGAGGCGACCTCCGTTTAGAGGTGAGACAACAAGCTCCTTCCTAAGCGCGAAAAAAGTTAGGGGAATCAGGATGAGAATATAAACGCGATCGCGTGCTGAAGTGCATAGAGTTGTTCTCTCGCTTGTCCTCAATTTCATCACTTGCATAACAAAGAGTGTGCTGAAGAGGATCTTCCTGTCTATTCTTACCAGCGCTCGGAAGAGATTCCTCAGACTCTGTAATGAGGCTAGTCTATCGAGAGAAATGATCGTCCTTCTATTATACCTTAGATGCCAAATATTCCAGTTCAAGTGCGACAAAGCATGCCCTCAACAGTTTCCTTGCAACGCATGATCCAAAGGGAAAGAAGGAAGAAGCTTCCACCTCTTCCTGAGAAGTTTGCAGAATTCGATTTGCTGCAAATCTTCTCACAAACTGTGGACGGGAATGGCTGGGTTCTTCTCGATCACAGTGATGCCTACCGCATTCTTATGTTTGGATCTCATGACAGCATCTGACATCTTGCGAGTGCAGAGAGGTGGTATGGGGACGGAACATTCTTTGTTGCCCCTAGGGTGCAACAAGATTCGGCCATGCAATTGTACACGTTGCACGCTGAAGTGAACGGCGCTATTTTCCCTCTTGTGTATGGCTTGTTGAATGCGAAAGATGCGCAGTGTTACTCCATCATGTTGCAAGGCATACTTGACACATTTCAGAGATTCCACTTTGTTCCGAAGCTGCAGTTCATCACAACCGACTTTGAGAGCGGAATTTTGTCAGCAGTATCTCAAGTACTTCCTCATGTGAAACACAACACTTGCTTCTTCCATTTTGCACAAAGCATTTGGAGAAAAATTCAAAGTACAGGGTTAGTCTCTGAATATGCAGATAACATAGAGTTTGCTTTAGCTATGCGTATGTCGACAGCTTTGGTGTTCGTGCTAGAAGGTGAGGTACAAGCTGCATTCGAAGGTCTCTTGACCTGCATGCCAACAGCAGCAGCCCCAATCATTGCATATTTTAGAGAATATTATGTCGATGGCCACAGAAGCAGAGGTCGACCTCGTAGCGGCCCTGTTTTCCATCCTAGAGTGTGGAATGTGAGGGAACGAGTCCTCGGGTGAACCACGTATGACCAATGCTCTAGAAGGATGGCACCACTGATTCAATCGCATTGTAGGCAAGGCCCATCCCAATATATATGAATTTCTAGGAGTCTTGCAGAAAGAGGAATGTTTTCAAGCACGAGAGATGGAAAGAATCTTGTCAGGGTATCCCACGCGAAAGCTGAAGAAAAAAGAAGAATCAAGGGAAAAACGCATTCATCAAATTGTTTCTTCCTATTCCGACTGCGAAGTGCGTGATTACTTACGTGCAGTGGCACATAATGTTCCGTTTTGAATGCCGAATGTCAGAAGTTGTCACATCTATAACCGCCAATTAGTTTGCTTTTCTTTCTCTCGACCAAGTGCAGTTTTCCCATGACGAGTTTTATGACTTCATTGACAAAATAAATAAATGAAGAATTCGACTTTTCTCTCTTTCGACATTTTGACTTTCAACATTTCATTCCTTCGACATTCAGGAATTTGACATAGTAGGTAATCGACAATCGGACAGTCGACGTGTGCTTTCGACATTTTGACGGGATTCAGCTAGATCATGATTGAAGGTGGACTGACACCCAAAAATCTGCCTTCAAGGAAAGTATGCTAATGAGAAAAGACAAGTTTCCCCCAGGCTTACATGGTTAACTTGCTCCTGCAAAACATCAACATGAACCTGGAAGTTGCCTAAGTGGCAGTGGGGTGATTGTAACACATTTTCTTATTCAGCAGATACAAGAGATACATTTTCCCTCATTTGTCTTTGTAACATGTTACTCTTCATGCTTCAATACAATGCAATTTGAGCTTCTCTATGTTTGACTAAAGACTTGCTTACCTCTTCGTTTACTTTTGCTGTAATTTTATTTTTCATCCTGGCTAAAGAGGTCAACAGCTAGAAGAGTGACCCATCTTATGCATGAGTTTTATATCAATCTTTTCTCTAGCAAAATGAGACACACATTTTCTTGCATCATTTGCTGAGTGTACTATTGCTATTGCTCTATGGAAAGTTGTGTCATGGAATTTCCTATGATAGGTAAAAGCAACTTCACATTAGTAATATCTTCTGTGGATGCTCCTTCAGTGCTCTATGCTCTAAGAAAATTTATTATGCATTTGAAGCATTTGTTTTTGATTCTCACACCTACCATTTTGGTAAACTCTTTGAGTCTTAAGTATTTTTCATTTTGGCTTTAACCTTTATCGTATGAGTGTGAGATATATCTAACACTACTAGTAACTTCCATTGGACAAATGTTATATACATACATAAAAAAAAGTTTTGCACCACCCCCAGATCTCTACAGGTTCTTGCTGTGATATTTTTGGTTACAACTTTGCTGTATTTCATCCAAATTTCATCCAAATGTTATCAAACATAAACACATATGGCAACAATATACTACTCCTATAAGGATTTTTCAAAATGTCTGCCATCGGCTGAGATACAGACTTTTAAACACTATGGAAAGTTTCCATGATGGCTGTCAGCTGTTCAACCTTAATGTCGTCCCAAGTCTTAAGAAAACCCTTCTTCAACAAATCCACACTGCTATATAGTGTCAAGCAGGTCTTCTCCAAAATGGACAACACAGCATAATCCATATGTTTGAGATCTGGTGAGTTTCAGCACCAGATGTCCTTCCCCCATGGATTCAGAAACAACTCTTTGCAGAGCTCCATCATCATCTTTGCTCTGTGCACAAGCGCCCTGTCTTGTTGCAGCATCCATTCATTTTCACTGAAATGGTCACATGCCCAGGGGTCCAGAAATGGGTCATTCTGCGTCAAATCAACACGGTGTTAAAAGGTGACCTTCTGTGATTTGAATTAAATTTGGCAGGCTTATTTATACCTATTAGAAAGTGATTCACAGCAATTATTGGGTTCATTTGACTTCTTGTTCCTCAGATATGAGGTCATGAAAATTTGGGCTTAAATGCCTTCCAGTTGCACCCTGAGACAGTCTTCTCTTCATAACTTCTGCCCTAATTGTGCTAGAGACCTCTTCTTGGGATTGTTTGAAAGCTCTTTTCATGTCCTTTCCAGAGAAAAGTTATTGACAAATTCAAAAAATTGGGAAATCAATCATCAATAATACTTGGAGGAAAATGTTTACTGCAAAAATCCTCATACCATTCTGCAACAAAAAAAAATATTAAAAGCAGCATTCGTTGCATTCCTCTTGATGGATGTACTATATCAATTCCTGCATCTGTTGCAATAAAGGTGAGTCTTGCATGGATCCCACGTGAAAATTCCATAGGGTAACTTGGGGGAATATGGCCATTGGGGTAATATGGCCCTTCACAAGGAATCCCCTTATAGACTGAATAATTAGTTTGGGCGAATTTAAAAAATAGTTCTATCGAAGAGTACTTGCAATTGTCGAAATGTGTAGACCTGTTCATCAATCCAGTTTCCACAGGAATTCGGGATACATCGATGTCTTAAAAGTCATATGCATACGATTCTTTGACTCATGACCGTGGAACTAATATGAGCCTTGAGCAACATAAGCGTATACTTCCTAATAGCAGCATGGATACAGAAACCATTACTTCTAAGTTCTTCTATGGTCTCTCCAGAATGCTTGTGCAAAGTGCTA